CACATCCCTGAACACTACGGGCAACTTAGCACCTAAAGGCTAAACACTATGGGCACCTACCCTGCACATCTTGGGACTGTGGGAGGAAACTGGAGCACCCGGAGGAAACCCATGCAGACACAGGGAGAATGTGCAATCTCCACACAGACAGTCGCCCGAGGCTGGAATCAAACCCGGGTCCCCGGCACTGTGCTAACCACTGAGCTACCGTGCTACCCCTGCAGGTGGACAGTGGATTCAGTGGACATCTCCACAGGACTTCCTCAGGGTATTGCCTTTGGCCCAACCATTGTCAGTTGCTTCATCAATGACCTTCCCTCCATCATAAGGTCAGAAGTGGGGATGTTCGCTGATGATTGCACAATGTTCAGTACCATTCATAACTCCTCAGATACTGAAGCAGTCCATGTCAAAATACAACAAGATATGGACTATATTCAGGCTTGGGCTGACAAGTGCCAATTAACATTCATGCCAGACAAATGCCAGGCTATGATCATTTCATATAAGAGACAATCTAACCACTGCCCCTTGACATTCAATGGTGTTATCATTATTGAATCCCCCCACTTCAACATTCTGGGGTTTACCATTGACCAGAAACTGAACTCACCATATAAATATGGTGACTACAAGGTCAGAGGCTAGAAATACTGAAGCAAGTAACTCACCTCCTGACTTCCCAAAGCCTGTCCACAATTTACAAGGCATAATTCAGGAGTGTGATGGAATACTCCCCACTTGCCTGGATGGTTGCAGCTCTAACAGCACTGAAGAAGCCTGACAACATCCAAGACAAAGCATCCCAGTTGATTAGTACCACATCCATAAATATCCACTCACTCCACCACCAACACTCAGCAGCAGAAGTGTTTACTATCTAAAAGATGCATTGCAGAAATTCACATCGAGTCCTTAGACAGTACCTTCTAAACTCATAGCCACTTCCATCTAGAAGGACAAAGGCAGCTGATATATAGGAACAACACCACCTGCAAGTTTTTCTCCAAACCATTCACCATCCTGACTTGGAAATATATTGTCATTCCTTCATTGTTGTTGGGTCAAGATCCAGAAATAACTCCCTGACATCATTATGGGTCTATCTAAAGTATATGGACTGCAGCAGTTCAAGAAGACAGCTCACCACTTTCTCAAGGGCAACTAGAGACAGACAATAAATGCTGGTCCAGCCAGGGATGCCCACAGCCCATGACTGAATAAAAAAAATTGAATGCCCATTCAATGCAAATAGGTTATGGTGCCACATCTCCCCCACTCCAATTCCACCTCCAGAATAATGGCCTAGGTGTGGGATAGGAGCCATGGAAATGGCATACCAGCTAACACACAAATATATGCACCTGTTGTACTAAGGTTTAAAACATGTTTTCACTAATATTTTTGTTGGACAAGTAAATACTTTCAAAACAAAATAGGCAATTGTAAGCATCAAATTATAAACAGAAAATAATGGAAACATATGGCAGATTCAACAGTATCTGAATGCTTGCTTTTAGAGCAGCATTGACTGAAACTGTTACTTAGCTTTCATTTCTTCAGATGCCATCATGTACTTGTAGGCTTTTGTGATTGACATTTCAGTTTTTAGTATTTGTGCTTTTCTTTCTCCCTTCATGTTTGCTTCAAAAAGTACTTGACATGGACTCCAGGGAGACTATGAGAATGTGTCTTTGTTACAATTGTGTTTGGCCCTTACAAACATTGTAAAATTTCGAAGCATGGACTTCACACACTGCAACATAGCAAACTATGGCACTTTTTATAACTATTTTATGTCTATTAGAATAGTTACCTGAAATCCTTTGCAGCATTAATGAAGTAAGTTAACAGTATATTGTTAACACCTATTGAATTTTTTAAAAACTAAGATGTATTTTTGGACTTCTATGTAATGATCTGCCAGACATTATTTACTAGAACCTACTGCAATCAGTGGACATTCCTTTACTGTACCATAAACCATTGAAAAGAAATTCCATTCTTCCCATTTCATAAAATATATACTTTAAAGCAACTCAGTGGGATCTCATTCATTAACTTCCTGCTCTGGGGGAGCGTAGACCTTGTTAATGTGGAGTTCTAATTAAAAACTTCTTAGTGAGATTAAATTATAAAGAAGCTTTTTCCAATAGCGTTCTCCAAACTGACCTCCATTTTACAAGTGCAAATACTTCAGCAAAGCCTTGTTAAAGTGAGTTGCTTTTAAAATTGCTTTAATCACAATTCTACTGGTTATGATGCTACAAAAGAGTTAAGCCCTCTTTGTATTGGGGTCTATCCATTCAAAATAAAAGAAATAAAAATCAAGATGTGCAGAAGTAAATTTGAGACCTTACAGTAACATTGTCTAAAGAGAGTACAGAAACAGAATATGTTTATTGCAGTTCTTTCGATTTTTATGTTTGTTGTGTACATAGTCTCTCAGCAAACTGTCTTCATAAAGTCAGAATAACAAGTCAAGCATGAATGAGCTGATAATGCAGTGTGGGATGAAGCAACATTAAAACTAAGAGCTGGCCTGCCACATATTTGTGAAAAATTGCTTTGGGCACTCAGTTCTTGTGAAGTTTTAATATCTCAGGTTTTTAATAATACTTTCCCTCACCAGTACATTTACCAACATTTTGTTCCCTGCCCCCCCTAAAAAAGATATACCGAGGGAGTAACTTGTGCATAGTACATGTATTTTACAAAAACATATGTCAAATTACTGGAGCAGGCAGTGTGACCAAACATGACCTGTGTGGCCCATGCTGCATTCTTCAATGATGTCAATTGAAATGAGGTGCAGTACTACATGAATGAATTTCTCTCCATTGGTTTTGAATTTTGAGGGGTAGTTCTCCTGAGATCCTGTTCTAACTTTCATGTATGATCAGCAGAACCCCAGTGAGAAGGTAAATTGGCTACTTGCAGCTTGTTGTTGCCAATTTGCTGGTACTAATGTTACACCAAAAGATCAGGATAATTTGAGTTATTTATTTAAGCTGCTTTCTACCTGATTTAGTTTTCTATTCACATTTATTCTTGCCAGTCATGCAGTTTATGGAAAGATAATGGTAAGTCTACTGACATAATATGTAAAGCAGTAGGTAATTAAGCCATATGATGAACAACGGCAAAATTGAGGAAGTAGATCTCCACTAAGTCCTTTTGATAGGGCACAGCAGCTATTGTCCTTTGGTTTAGGACAACGGTATCAGTAAGGGTAGAATTTAATGCCCTCCCAGAGTTGGGCGCGAAGGTGGGGGTGGGTGAGGGTGAGTGTGTTAGAGATCTAGCTGCTCTGCCATCTTATTTCAATCATGTTCAGTGGGTAGACTTCTCATGTGGAGGCAAGTTAAAGAACTTTAACAGGCTCACAGCTGGTATTCACCCAGCAAAGGGCAAGGGAACTCATCATCTGGGAAGGTCCCTTGTTCATGCTTTGCCTAATCAAGGGACCCAACGTCAGGAAAGGGTAAATGTCCACAGGAAGTCACTCCCTCATTTGTCAGCAACCCTGATCCTGCCCATACTCACTTCCACCTGAGGAGTTATTGGCAATCTATCATAGGCGCCACAGTACTGTAGGCAGTGGCCGCTGGCACTGTTGATACTGCAGAGCTGCCGAATTCATTTCCATCCTTTTTTATGCACTCATGGGACATGAATGTCACTGAATGTCAAGGGGTGGTGGTTAGATGGTCCCTTATTAAAGATGGTCATTGTCTGGCATTTGAGAGGCATGAATACTATTTATGACTTGTCAGCCCAAGCCTGGACATTGTCCAGATCTTGTTGCTTTTGAGTATGGACTGCTTCAGTATCTGAGGAGTCGCAAATGGTGCTGAACATTGTGCAATCATTGGTGAACATCCCAATTTCTCTCTTTATGATGCAGGAAGCTTATTGAAGAAGAAGCTTAAGATGGTTGGGCCTTGTACAATACCCTGAGGAACTCCTGCAGAGGCGTCCTGGAGCTGAGATGACTGACCAACAACTTTAGGCATCTTGCTAGGAGTCAGGTATGACTCCAACCAGCAGTGAGTTCACACCCCATTCCAGTTTTGCTCGGGCTCTTTGATGCGCACTCAATGGAATGCAGCCTGGGTGTCAAGGATTGTCACTCTCTCTCTCCCCCTGGAATTCAGCTCTTTTGTCCATGTTTGAACCAAAGATGTATTGAGGTCAAGGGCTGACTGGCCCTGGCAGAACCTAAACTGGACCTAATCCAATGGGAGGCCTGCTGCTACCCAGCTAAGTCTCTGAATACCATGGAATTGCATTTGGCCTCCAGTAATGCAGATCTGTCACTGGTTCTCCTACTATTGGATGGGATCTTGTCACCCACATGAAATCCTAGTCCCTATGTGCTCGAACGTATGTTACTCCAGAATAGCTGATGAGAGAATTTGGCTCAAGAATGATGCATTCATTGACAGACATTGTGTAAATATATACATTCCAGGCTCACACAGAAAGGATGAGCACTTTGATGAGCTCATAAATGGCCATTCCCTAAGATGCTGTAGGCTTACACGAACCATCTCCTTACAATTAGGGGAGAAATTAGGAAAAAATTACATGAATTCAGAGATTTGCCACTGTATTTATACTACTTTTTTCCTCGAATCCAGATGGTTAATTGTTCCTATTTTGATAAAACTGAACTGTTTTCAAATATGAGAGGATCACATCAAAAAGACTGTAGAAGATAACTGAAAAATGTACTGACTGGTCATTATTAAAGTTATATGATATCTATACAGTCAAACTGTGAATGTCTATCTGAATAGGATATTTAGAAGTATTTGGTACTTTGTGCTTTAATATTTGTGATTTCAAAGTCTTTCATTTCAGACTTGGCAATCAAGCAGCACGAAATAATAAGAATTATTGGTAACAGAGTCTGATCACGTGATGCAAGGGCGAGTTCAAATTATGAGGATTCAGGAAAATTGAAAGTGGTGATAAGTAATTTATATTCAACTTACTTTTTCTTTCCTCTTGCTGGGGTGAGAAGCATATCTTGCTGGTGTTTTCCATTCCTGTATCATTGACAAACCTGGAGCATTTGAGGACTTCTGGCCACCCAGCCTCCACTTGTTGCAATAATGGCTCACAGCCTTCCTTTGCAGCCTCACAGAATGACATGCACGGCAGAATTACTGCTCTATATGAAACAAATGACATGTTTCACATGAATAGATGGAGATATTTCTGAGCAATTACTTTGCAATTAAAGTTTAGACAACATGACAATGGCAGCCTATCCACAGTAGATTTTAGAACTTGAAAACACAGAAATACTTCAAAACACATACACCATTCAAAATAATTCACCTCAGTTCCTCAAAGGCTTGCAGGTAATGGTAGTTGATAGAAGAACATACAGATTTAGTCAATTATAGTGCAATACTGTAAGTGTGGGAGAAGGTGGGGGACCAGGATGCAAAGACCATCAGGAAAAAATAAAAAGATGATAGACTCCATTAGCACACCACAAATGGATGTCTTCAGTTAGGGATAGTGACCCTGTTTAAAACCTACTGCTGCCCAAAGAGACAATGCAGTGCTGAAAGAAGCAAGCAACCTGGGCAAAAAGGGCAAAACGGCAGCAAGGGTCAAGGAATCTGACTTGGAATTCTACCAAATGGAAATGTGGGGAGGTGAGATGGGCTGTTTGTGATCTGCTGAGCATGTCATTAACACCTTACCGAGCAAAGAGGTAACAGTAGTACATGAGCTCCCCAACACTCAAAGCTCCTTGGGCCTGCAAGAAAAATGTTTCCTCCATGATCCCTTTCAGTCTCTTTTTACACAGGCTGAAGAAAGCTGCAGCAGAAAAAATTTGCAGTCTTCATGTGTGAATCATAAAAAGCTTAGCACCCAAGTTTAGCAGGTAATAGAGAAAGCAAATGGAATGCTGACTTTTACTTCAAAGGGAATGAAGTATAAAAAAGGGGAGGTCTTGTTTAAAGTACATAAGGCATTGTTCAGACCACAGCTAGATGACAGGTGGCCTATCTAGCTTTTGACTCTTAAATGATTTGATACAACTTGGCTCTCTAGGCCACTTCAAAAGGCCATTTCAGAGGGCAGTTAAGAGTTAATCACATTGCTGTGGGTCTGGAGTCACATGCAATTCAGGTACAGATGACAGACTTCCTTCCCTGAAGGACAATAATTGACAATGGTCATTTTAGATTTTTAATTCCAGTTTATTTTGTACTTCAAACCCCATCATCTACCTTTGGTGGATCTTCAGAGCATTGCCTTGGTCTCTAGATTACTGGACCAGTAACAATACCATCACACCATCACACCTTCCTTACTATGTAATAAATGAGCCTGGGAGATTTCATAGCTCCATAGTGCTGAGAAGAAATACTTGTATCTGTTATTACAGATTACAGTCTCACTCTCTGTATTGGTTTTCACGTGTGCTATTTGCGATTTTGTGCCTTAAGGGTTAAATGTCACTGCCTACCATGTTGTATGAGCATACCAGCTCAGTACACGAAATAAGCTGTGGCTCATAATGTATCTTACTGCCATCATCCTCTTTTTAAATGCAGGAACTACACTTGGTAAACAGAATCCACTTCCTGGTCAAGTTAGCAGCTAGCTAGAGGTGACATTTATGCAAAGACATTGTTCAGAGATTTTGAGGAGGACTATCTGTGAAGTGCTAAGATCCTTAGCAATTCTGCTTACAAGTCCATTTGACATCATCACAGGAGGGATAGAAATCCTGGGTCCAGTGTTGCATCTGTGCCCTAGTCCCTGGCCCACCAAACCAGAACACCTTCCGGTGAGCAAAACATCTCCTTTAATTATGTAATCAATTCAAGTTTCCATCTGGACCAAAGTATTTCAAGTGTAGTTCTACTATAGACAATTTTGTGTCCAATTTTTCCCTTCTGGAAGAAGCAAGTCTAACAATTCCATTGAGGCAAATTCAAGGTTTATACAAAATGTATTGTGAAACTTCTAGGTAAAATAGCAAATCAAGCCAAGAAGAGATGAATGAAACATCCCAGATTAATCTTGTTCTCAGTTGACAAAACTAGATGAAGTGAATCCATGGTTTTATGACATGGATAAAGATGATAATGGCAAAATGAATGGTTTTGAAATTTCCAAATTTTCAACCAATGATTAGTCATCAAAAATCATGACATTAATCTTGGGTTTGAACTCCTGGGCCTTAAATATTATTTAATAAAAACCGAAAGAATTGCGGATGCTGTAAATCAGGAACAAAAACAAAGTTGCTGGAAAAGTTCAGCAGGTCTGGAAGGATCTGTGAAGGAAAAAACAGAGTTAACGTTTGGATCTGGTGACCCTTCCTCAGAACTGGACCTGAAACGTTAACTCTGTTTTTTCCTTCACAGATGCTGCCAGACTTGCTGAGCTTTTCCAGCAACTTTGTTTTTGTTCCTTAAATATTCTTTTCTTTAATTGGCTAAAGGCTGAGTTGGCATATTGATGGTAAACTCCACCATCTATATCACCCTTTGTCTAGAGGAGATAAAGGTCATAGTTTCCTGACCAGCAGTGATACCTGCACTCCCGTATGCATTGAAGACCTGGATAACCTACAGCAGGCATCTCAAAGCACACACCTTTTGCAAGGTCTGCCAAATCTGGTGGCACGCGAGGGAATGCAACAGCAGTGTCCTCTCCCAACCAAATATGTCTAGCATTGAACCTCAACTCATTCAAATCCAGCTCTACTGTAGGAGCACATGGTTCCAATGTCTGATGCAAGATTCTCAAAGTAACTGATGTAATTGGCAACAAAATCAGAAATTGCTGGAAAACTCAGCAAGTCTCGCAGCATCTGTGGAGAGTAAGCAGAGTTAACGTTTTAGGTCTAGAGACACTTCTTCAGAACTGATTGTAGGTAGGCAAAGGTTGGTGCATATGCTGAAGTTGGGTTGGAGGGAGGGAGAAGGAGTAATCAATAGGTGGATATGGAGCCCAGAGAGAGAGAGACAGACAGAGAGACAGAGACAGAGACGTAGAGAGAGAAGAACAGTTGGGCGGACAAACGAGTAGGTAAAGGTCAGCATAGGTCAACAATGGGATATTTGTGGTAGCAGCCCATGTGGTGACAAGGCCTGGTTTGTGCAGATGGGGTAAGGACATGGGAGAAGAAGCTCAGGACCTAAAATTGCTGAACTTGATATTGAGTCCCAGAATATTGCAGGGTTCCCAAGCAGAAAATGAGCATCCTAAGCATCTGCACTTCTTTGGTTTTCTTTTATCTAATCAGAACATTGTCACAGAGGGAAATTCCCAGGAGGACAGTGGAAACATCTCAGAGATATCCTCAATGTATCCACAAAATGATGAAACATCCCTGACAATTCTAGGAGTCCCTGGATGTCACTACCTAATGGAGAATGCTAATTCAGGAAGATACTGAACATATTAGAATACTTCATTGTGAACATGCAGAGATGAAGGCATTGGAGAGAGCAAATAAACCTCCTAACATCTGTCAGACTCTTCAGGCACCTCCTGGTCTTAGATCATAGAATCCTGACAGTATGGAAACACGCCCTTTGGCCCAACAAGTCCACACTGACCCTCAAAACATCCCACCCAGACCCATCCCCTATAACCCATCTAAACTGCATATCCCTAACCACTAGGTACAATTTAGAATGGCCAATCCACCTAGCCTAAACATCTTTGGACTGTAGGAGGAAACCCATGCAGACACAGGGAGAATGTGCAAACTCCACACAGCCAGTCGCCTGAGGGTAGAATCAAACCCAGGTCCTTGGTTCTGTGAGGCAGCAGTGCTAACCACTGAGCCACCGTCACAAGGTCTGCAAATCAAGCATTAGAGTAACCATTAGAGAATCTATCAGCAGGAGTGGAAGTGAATAATACCGAGATGGAGAGATTACCTAAAGAATAGTTTATCAAAGTTGGATGACAGAAGAAAATAAGAAATTGATATTGTTCCACAGTTATTAATAAATCTGTTCAAAGAGACACTGTCATGACCAATAAATAATATAGGAATCATTTAACATGAACAGTATGATAAACTTCACATAAGAAAGGTCAAGTTGTAAAGTGGTCAATCTTCCTTCCTCAAAACATCCTCTTTAAATTGAAATGGATGGAGTCAATAAGTTCATTTTTCACCTCTATTGAAAAGGAATACAAGGAATACCTTTATAGAGATAGTGTACTGGAGAAAAATAGAGTAGACAACTTCATGGAAATTTCTTTCTGATTTACATCACGAACCATGTTTCTACTTAAAGGCTATTCATCAGAGCTTGTACACTTTCAAAAGCAATAGAACTAAACTCTTCCTCTGTAAACATTTCGGCTTTGGAATGTTATTTTCAAAACAGACCTGTGACTTGTTGATAGAGATTATCTTTAGAATTCATTTGTGACCCATTACAGGCACTGTAGAGAACCCATGACGTTAGAAAGAACATGCTTGGGATTAGCATGCATTCTTAGTCAAATTGTCCGGTACGATCTTATGGAGCTTGTTCTTGTTACACATTTTTGACCCACATTCGCTACAGCTTGGAAGGATGAGAGGGGATCTGATTGAAATGTATAAATGTCTAACAGGACTGGACAGATTAAATGCAAGAAGGGTGTGTTCTTTGGTTGGGGAGTCTAGAACCAGGGGACAGAGTCTCAAGATACGGGATAGACCGTTTAGGAGTGAGATATGGAATGTTTTTTCCATTCATTCAAAGAGTGATGAACCGGTGAAATCTCTATCACAGAAGTGTGAGGAAACCAAGTCACTGAATATATTCAACAAGGAGATAGATCATTTTTTAGATTTTAAAGGCATCAAGGGTATGGCAAGAAAGCAGGCAATGGCATTGAGATAAAGGATCAGCCATGATCATATTGAATGGTGGAGCAGACTTGTAGGGCCAAATGGTCTACTCCTGCTCCTGGCTTCAATGTTTCTATGTTTCATTTATGAGCTACATATCAACATTATGAATGGTGGCAATATTTCTTTTACCATATTATTGTTCGAAATGGTTCTCAATTTTACTCTAAGGTAGAGATCAGTTTTTCTAGGCAGCTTTCCATCATAGATTACAATGGCTGTGTTCAACCTTGTCTACTTTGTGCATCGGGGCCCCATTCTAGCACAGCAGTCTCTGC